GTTTGATGGTTGTAATGCATTAGCCGATGAGAGCACAATGATATCAAGCTAAATGAATGCTGGTGTTATCACAACAGTGCTTGTTTATGAAACAACTGTTAACAATTCGTGCTTTGACAGTGTTAAAACATAGTCAAATTATCATCTATGAAGTGAAACAAAGGTCTCCAGCTTTTCTGGGATATGCCCTTTATAATATATTCTATGATTCATGATGACACGAGCAGCAAGACACTGCAATGTGGTATGATTTATGGGCTGGATCAAATTTTTAGCTATTTCCTTCTCATCCAGCAAGTCACTAGCAGTTTGTTTGTGCAAGTTTGTGGCATCAAAATGTGCACCTGATTTAATAAGGAGATTCATGATGTCTGGATGGTTGTTCAGAGCAGCGATATGTAGGGGACTATTGTCATCGGAGTCTCTGACGTTCACATCAGCACCACATTCTATCAATATTGCAGTAACTTGCAGAGATGGAAATTTGCAAACTGGGTACCGCCCTACACATGTAGTATTCTTGTCCACAGCAAGATGAAGAGGGCTGAAGTTATTCTTTCCTCTTGGATGCAACTTAAGAAACCTGTAGATAGTCTGCTTTTTGAAATGATCCTGTTCTACAGTACAAGGAACTTTTTCTAACAAGCAGATTAAATGCAAAATGATAGAAAGAGCCTTATTTAACTGTAATGGGTCAGCGGACACCGAGTCTGTTTGATAGCTCGCTCAATTTCAAGCACGCTTTTGCACAGTATGTCCGTAAGATCATCAAATGTAACAGTAGTACCCAACAGGCCTTTGGCCCTATCCTGTAGCATAAAGGAAAACAGTTCTGCAAAAGATAATAAGCTGCTGGCAGTCATTGGGCTTAAAGGGTCCAAATTATTCTGCTGCATATCCAAAGCGTACTTCCATAGGTTGATGCATCGTTTGAAATTTCCAGAGTCTGCATAGACAGCTCCACGATATCTAATATAGTAAGAGGTATCAGGATGAGAAGGACCAAGAATACGTTCTCTAATTAATAGTGCCTGCATTCTCATTTCATCTGGATCAGCAATAAGACCTTCCAGCTCTTCCGAGCTATTTACTTCCTTGGCATAATCATACGCCATTATTAGTGTCTGTGGTACTGGTTTACTAATTATATTAGTCCTATCACTATACCTCATGTTCATTGCCTTTTTCCAGTATTTCAAGGCCCCAAGCAGATCTCTCTTTTTGTCTACAAATGTGGCCCCTAGAAGCTCCAGAGCATTGATACGTTCTGTCTTGCTGGTCTGTGCATGGTGTGTCAAAAAATCCACAATGTTTGTGTGACCAGTCACGCTTGCTGAGAGAAGGGGAGTCATGCCATAACCATCCTTTTCCATCTTGGCACAATACATAAGAAGCATCTTCATGATGTCCAAACTGCCAGATTCTGCACAATCATGCAATGCTGTATTACCTTAAAGAGGGGAAGAAAAAAAAAAACAATAACATACTTTGAGGAACCACGATATAATGTAATATTTATATGCAATTTAGAACCTAAAGAAAAGCAAGCAACTCTAGGCCACCCTTAAGTAGAATATATTTTGATTACAAAGGAGAAAATAATTATCCTCAGCATTTAAAACTATCATCTAATATGTAGTAGGAGCTAAAGAAAATATTTACTAAAATTACAGAATAAGTAAATTAGAATGACTAAATTAGGTATAAAAAGAAATGATATCCAAAGTCAAATGAATACATGCCCTATTGGTATTTTTCATTAGTGTTTATGCCTAAAAACATGAAATACAACCAGCTATTCATAATTTTGCTGACAGTCACTTAATTTTTTGGGTCAGCTTCCACATCTATAAGTGAGGAAACCAGTCTTTAGTATCTAAAATTCTTCTACTTGATTCTAACAGTGGTCTGAAATTATTTTTTCAAATTTCTGAAAGTCAGGTCAAAGTTAGCTATTTTAGCCAAAATTCTTGGTTACAAAGTACTTTCCCCAAAAAGGTCTCATAGGAAAAATAAGTCCATTGAAACCTGAAAAATAAGTGGGTGATTTAATAAGAACTTTAAAAGGAGACATATGAAGTGTCCAAAATGGATTACTCCCCATTGTAATTTAATTTTTAAACATTCTTGTTAGATGTACTGAATGTTCTAACACTGTCCTGTTCTTCCCACACAAATTAAAAGTGACAACAGGCACTGACACATCAGTAAGTCCGTACTAAACATACTAAGATATTATCAACATCAGGCATTTTACCTAATACTGAACATTTTACTACTCATAGAAACAGAAATTACCATGCAAACCTTTGACACTTACATACAATGTTTGAAAAAAATTTCAACAGTGAATCACTTTTGGCATGCCTGTATAAAAGAGTTAAACACAGGCTGAGAATGCCCTGCATGGAAAGACCTACTTGCAAGGTTGACCCTTGTCTGGCATCTGAAAATTTTCCTGGTTGTTTCCTACACGGATAAAACCTTCCCTAAATGATAACAGTGGCTCACTGTACCTAAACTGTAACAGCAAGGGAGTTTATATTAATCACTTGATTTCTTGGGTATACTGGGCAAAGTTCACTACATGAACTTCAGCGCTGGTCTATCACATGTTTCCCTCACATGTATTTGCATTTTTAGGGAAGAATGTGCTGACCAGTCATGAGAGGAAGAGAGGATAGAAATGGCTACCTACACATTCTTTAGACCTCATCTGTTCCTTTTCCTCTTACGATCCGTGTGTCTAATAACATCACTGTGATAAATCTTAGCCATGATTAAAATTGCACAGTGAGGTACCTCTGAACACCAAGGGTGGCTTTGAGTACCCTGCACAGAATGTATACCCTGAAGTGGCTTAAACCTGAATACTTCAAATAACAAACTTTATAGTTAACTTTATAACTAGAATTACAAAAAACATGTTATTATACATTATGACTTTTAATCTTTCCGTAGGTGTGTAGTCTTCCATAATATCTACAAGGACTACATAATTACTCTGGCTATGTTTACTCTGACCCAGAATTTTAATCTACAATGAAATGTTTTAACAATAGGTAAAGTAACCAAGTACTGATAGCACCCAGAATTTATAACTATTGATGTTAATTTGTTCGAAATAATTTCAACTAAACATTACTATTATTTTGAATGTATTTACCGATAACCATTTTGAACTGAAAATCTTTCCTATTCTCATATTTTCCAAGAAACAGACACTATAAGTCAAGAGAAATCTGAATAGAAAGAGAAGTCTTAGATGGCATTCTATATTCAGTGATAAAATCAAGAAGGCAGCAAAAGCCAGTTTTTAAATTACTAAATTTCTTTATTTCTGTAAAAACTGGAATATGTATATTTTGAATACACCCACATACAGAAAAAATAAAGAAGGCTAAAAAAACCACGAAGAACTAGGAAAGTTGAAAAATGTACTTTAAAAACTTCCTTGACAGGATTTAGGGATAACAAAAAGAAAATATCTAGAAGAAAGAAAACTAAAGTCTAGAATTTAAAGCAGCTTTCCCACAATGGCCTTCACTATCAGGAGGACGTCTACATAATTTTGGGGAAAAATCATTTCACAATTAAATCATGATTAGGCCTAGTTCTCCTGCCTACAGTCCACCTATGGCAGGTTGAGACATAATTCCATTTTGGCTTCTGGTCACAGCTAATAATGCACATTGTCGCTGACTTGCAATAAGCAAATTGCAATAAGCAGTTATAAAAATAAAATATATATATATATTTTTGATTGTCAAAGTAAATAAACTATTTGATGAATAAAGAAGTGGCTGCCCAGAGAATAATTATTCTGGTCTTAATTCACTAAAGGGACCCCCAATAATTTTCATAACCTTGTGGGAGACACACCCCAACAAATACTGTCTCAATGTTATTATAAATTGATTACACTGGTTATCATTGAAGTTTAACCTCTAAATATGTTATAAAATGCTTACACTGGTTAAGTTCTAAATATGTTATTGTGATGTCTACATTGGTCATCTTCAAAAGATTAATTTCTGAGGCATAAACAAAAAGGTGTTATTAGAAAGATGCTTTTGGTACCAAACTACATTGAAGGACATAAGGTTTGATATAATTGTGATACTTATTACTGCTACTTTTCTGGTGTGCAAAATGTATTCGTGCCCTCTAATTGTATGGGTCCTCCAACGTATCATTTATGATAATAACCTCCTTTTGATTCAGATATTTGCCTTTCTCTTATGCTCCAACCACTTATGATAACATGTACATTTGTAGGCCGATATATCTTCCTTAGATGACATCCTGTCCAAAAGATAGCTACTTAGGTAAGAGCCTTTTTCATGCATTTTTTTTGGAGGGTGAGAGAGTTTAACAATGGCTATTTTATACTAAGATACACATTCAAATATATTACAAAGATAATATCACAATTGTCATGCTAAAATATTATGTATAGTTCTTGCTTTAAAGCCCTTTTCTGTTAACCTTCTACAGGGATTCAACCACTAGAACAACCATGATTGGCCGTAAGTCTTTTAACTATATTTTTATTCCAAAATGCTTAATATCCAGGTAAAATTATAACAGTTGAGTTCACTACTCCTCTTACAACACTAATGTTATTGATCTTCTCTTCTTGGTGTTCAACAACCAAAGTTTAGAGACCAGAACTAGAAAGGTATGTGGGCTGGATGAAGTTAAACTGTCATTATTTGCTGATGATATGATACTTTAGATAGAAGACCCAAAAAACTCAGTCAAACGTCTTCCAGACCTAATTGACAGATTCAGTAGAGTAGCTGGATATAAGGTCAACAATCAAAAAACAATAGCCTCCTTATACACAAATAGCAGACTCATTGAGAGAGAAATTCGGGAAACAATTCCTTTTACAGTAGCATCCCAAAAAATGAAATATCTAGGAATCAACCTAACAAAGGAAGCAAGAGACCTCTACACTGAAAACTACAGCACTCTGAAAAAGGAGACAGAGGATATAAGAAAATGGAAAGACATCCCTTGTTCCTGGGTAGGAAGAACCAATATAGTGAAAATGACCATACTTCCAAAACTACTATATAGATTTAATGCAATACTGATTGAAATTCCAACAAATACTTCACAGAACTAGAGAAAACAATCCAAAAATTCATTTGGAACCCAAAGATTCCTAGAATAGTGAAAGAAATTCTAGGCAACAGAGACATGGCAGGGTATCACAATCCCCAACTTGAAACTATACTACAAAGCTACTGTGATAAAAACAGCATGGTACTGACAAAGAAACAGAGCTGAGGATCAGTAGACTAGATTAGAAGATGCAGAAACAACTCCAGACAGCCAACCACCCTCACTGGAGGAAAGATAGCCTCTTTAATAAATGGGGTTGGAAAAACTGGATTTCAACCTGCCAAAGATTCAAACTAGACCCATACCTATCACCATGCACTAAACTAAGATCAAAGTGGATTAAAGATCTAAATGTTAAGACAGAAACATAAAAATTGCTGGAAGCTAAGTAAGGTAGAACTCTTTAAGACACTGGCATAGGAAAAGACTTTATGAACAAAACCTCAGTAGCACGGGAGCTAGCACAAAGAATCAACAACTAGGATCTCTTTTAATCTTACTAAAAAGCTTCTGCACTGCAAGAGGAACCACCAACAGAGCTAACAGACAACCTACAATGTGGGAAAAATTTTTTAGCCGCTGTACCTCAGACAAAGGTCTACTATCAAGAATATATAAAGAATTGAAAAAAATCAGGCCCCCCAAATTCAAAGACCCAATTCAAAAACGGGCATCTGAAAGGAACAGACATTTCTCAAAGAAGTAAAAGCAGCAAATAAATATACAAAAAAATGTTCAACATCACTGGTCATTCAAGAGATGCAGATGAAAACAACACTAAGAGTCTACCTCATGCCACAAAGAATGGCTGCTACCAAGAAATCAACCCATAACAAATGCTGGTGGAGGTGTGGGGAGAAAGGAACCCTTCTCCATTGTTGGTGGGAGTGGAGACTGGTGCGACCACTGTGGAAATCCGTATGGAGATACCTCAAAGAACTAGGGCTAGTGGTCCCATTTGACCCAGCTATTCCCTTGCTGAGTATCTTCCCCAAAGAATTAAAAGAATCTTACCACAGCAATATATGTGCACCCATGTTTATAGTGGCACAGTTTGTAATAGCTAACACTTGGAAACAGCCCAAGTGCCCATCAACTGGAAACTGGATAAAGAAGATGTGTTTATTTTATAAAATGGAGTACTACACTCAGCCATAAAGAATAAGAAACTAGAGACATTTATAGCTAAATGGATGCATATGGAGGCCATACTCTTAAGTGAAATAAATAGGACACATATGTGTAAATACCGAATAGTTTCTCTAATGTGAGAAACTGAAAGTGTAAATAAGGATTAAAATGAATAATTCATAATTT